AGAGTGTGAGGAGTCCTCCCCCTGAGGAGGAAGGAGCGGCAGAGACAACGTGTGATGAACTGACTGCAACCCCCGTTCCCCGTCCCCCTGCGCCGCTCGGGGGGAGGAGGTAGAGAATTCAGGAGTAAAGTTGAGCCCGGGAAGAAGGGAGGGGTGGGGGGAAGGTGTTTTAAGATTTCATTTTTGTTTCTCATTACCCTACTCTGATTTGATTGGTAATAAATTAAACTAATTTCCCCAAGTCGAGTCTGCTTTGCCCGTGACAGTAATTGCTGAATGATCTCTCCCTGTCCTTATTTTGACCCACGAGAGCCTTTCGTTATATTTTCTCTCCCCTGTCCAGCTGAGGAGGGGAGTGATAGAGCGGCTTTGGTGGGCACCTGGTGTCCAGCCAAGGTCAAACCACCACACAGTCAAACAGATGCAGCTTTACAAAACAAAGCTTTTGACCGACGCAAAGCCATGTGTTATGTGACTGTCTCTATCAGAGATGAACTTCCCACCTTTAAGACAATGTATACTTCACCCAGTTCTCTCTGGAATCAAACTCCAATATGGAAAGCTGTCTGAGTGAATCCCTCAGTGCAGTATTTTCTTTAATTTTTTCACTAGGCTCTGCTGTAGTTAATCGACATGAAAAATGGGCATGGGCATCCTGCTCGTGTGAGAACGCTTGCATGTGTAAGAAGGCTCAAGAGTACAAGCTCTACCACTTAAGGTCAGAATTAACTCTAAGCAGCACATATAAGTCCTTGGGTTAGATCCTCAGGTTCTGTAAATCTTAGCGGAAGTCAAGTGTTATATTGATTTTACACCAGATGAAGATCTAGCCTCTTATGTCACTTCAGCCTGGCTGCGCCTGTGCCTGGAGCTCTGCCAGTATGAATGCAGATGGCTTGCAGATCTTGGGAGCTGAGGATGGCAGTGAGCTCCCAGCCGGGTTTGGAGGGTGCTGCTATCCGCCTCAGAAATCTGCAATGCAGGTCTGGCACTGGAACGGTGCTGTCTGCCTTTTTAGATGGTGATTTTGCAACACTAGTGCTGAGCTTTTGTATTTCACTGGGGCCATGTGGGGCCCGGTTATATATATGTACACACAGATATATATATATATATATACATACACACACCAAGAGAGCTGGTAGATCTCTGTCCTAATGTGGTTATAAGCAGGCAGCACGACAAGACTGGCTGCACTGTGACCATATAGCAAATCCTTGCTTAATAAATCCCCATCCTCTTTTTTGGGACTGGTCCTCCAAACAGGTGATCCAATTTTGAATTGATCGTGGAGTTTCTGAGGGAAGGGAAAGTCCAGGAAGGTTTAAAACTTGCCAGGAAGTGTCAGTGCATTCAGACCCAAGCCCCGTCGTTCTGCATAGCTCAGGGCACTTCTTTCCCAAAGCTCTTGCAGAAGATGCCTTGACTTGTGCTAAGGGGTCCACTTGCCAGCTGTTGTCTGGCAAACTCAACAGCATGGGTTCAACCCAACCTGCACCGGAGCTTACTGAAGATCCATAGCAGCGAGCTCTGCTTTGGCCCAAGGATTTGGAGGGAGAAAAGGGAAGAGCTCTATTTCTGTCCCTTGTCTTTCTCCGAGCTGAAGAGAAACTGCAGCATGCACTGCCTGTGCTTGCAGAAAGGAATCTACAGCCCCTTTTGGGGTCGTCTTAGAAATGTCAGCTCTTACCTTCTCCATGATCCTGTCAATCTGGCGATTCTGTGTGTCGATCTCGTTGCCCATGTCCAGGGCCATGTGACGTAAGTTGCCAATGATGCCGCTGACCTGCTCGAGGTTCTCATCCATTTCATTTTCCCGGGCATCATTTGTTACCCTGGGAGCAAAAAAACAATTCTTTGAAGCAGAGACAGAGGAGGTTCCCTCTGAAAGTCTGATTCACCCAAAACCTCCCCTGCATCCTCCTTCGCTTGTCACCTGAGGAGCATGCTGCTGTGCTCAGCTTTGAAGAAAAGGGATTAATAAGTAGCTAGCCTGAAATTGTTACATGCTTATTTTTTGGATGTTGGGCTTAATTGTCTGGGTTCATCACTGCTCCGTTTATACTGCTCATGTCTGCTGCTCCTGGAAGTGTTGCTGTCCGAGCTTGTCTGTACCACATACTGTACCTCTCTGCTAGTGATGGTCCTTCTCAAAGAAAGAATGAAAGGGTGCTCCATTTGGACCTGTGTGTGGTTAGAGTATGTGGGAAATGCTGGAGGGCGATGGAATTGAAGATACACCAGCTCCCCTCCTTGAACTACACATAGCTAATGTATACTGTCCAGTCCTCATACGCTTGGGGCTCGCTGAAATATTGGGGAAGAGCTTCTTCAGCTGTGAAAATCCTGACCTAACATCCTATTTAATTAAATGTATTTCTGGTAAATGACAGAAGCAGCATCTCTCAGATTTACTGGCTTTAGTAAAGATCCTTTGTCTCTCATTCTTAGCACCGTCTTTTTCAGCTGCTTGGTTTTTAGAAGAAAAAACCTGTGCTTGAGCCAAGGCCCAGTTCAACTCTCCAGCGACCGGAGAGGCGTGTGGTGACTGACACTGGGAAAAGCAAGGTCCATTGCTCCCACTCGGAAAATCACTACTTTGAGCCTCTTGTGCCATTTGTGTTCGTGGAGGTGCCAAAAGGGTGCTACAGGCTATTTGCAGAACGATTATGGTGTAGCATAACTTCCTTCCCTGCTATTCTGTTACCGTGCCCCAGCCTTCGTTTTGGTGGGGCTGCCATCCAGAAATTAAAAAAAAAAAAGCGAATGGCAGACCCAGCAAACTTAAATGGCAACTCCATCCCACGCTCCAGACTGCACGACAGCATTGTTTCTATCACACTGATTTCCCTTTATCACAGCAGCCAAAAAAATAAGTGGATAATAGTTTTTGGAAAGATAATTACTTATTAATCCAGTGTCCTTAATCTTCAGAGATCAAAGCTTTGCCTACTGGTATGCCTTTATCCATTCAGCTGATAGCATTGTCATCTAAATACATGCTCTATAAGCACTGTAATCAGTATGTACTTATTGCTGGATCCCTATGTATCGCTGAAAGCTTGCAGTTTGGTTGCCGTTAGTAGAGCTGTGTGTTTCAAACTGGCTTTCATTTGAGTGCACAGGGGTTGCCACTAAAGCATCGATGTTTCTCCATGGCTGTGGCTTTACGGCAGCTGAGGAATGGGGCATCGTTCCCCATTCAGCGAGGTTTTCTGGATGGTCACGAGCAGGGAAGTGGTGTACTTCTAGTTAAAAGTGTGCTTCAAGTTCTGCGCTTGGCTCGGTGCTTTGGCAAGGAGCCGGAGGCTTTTTTCTTTTTGAAAAGAAAGGAAGGGGTGCTGGATGCTTTGGTACATCTTCTGGCAAGGATGGATAACAAGCACTACATATCTTGAGACATAATAACAATAAATTAGTATTTATCTGACATTTCATTTCTGAGGCATTTGACGACTGTCATTAATGAGACCCATAATAAAGGCCCCAGGAAAAGTGCATTGCTCACACCAGGGAGCTGACTGGCCGTGACAGTCTGCAACCTCACATTGCTGCTGTGAAGTAAATAAATAGATATTATTTCTCTTTTATTATTGCCCAAATCTGGGTAGTCTCAAGGAGGAAGGTTTAGGGCCACGTCTTCAAGCGTCTTCTGGTTCTCAGGGCTAAGACCCTTGCTTCCAGGATTTTCGGCAACGTAACCATCCTTTGCACTAGCTCAGGCAAGCACCCACAGGGCCAGGGGAAGTCAGTGGACACAGGAAGCCTTTAGTACCTTTCTTAATCGCTGTCAACCTAGATCTGAGCACCCACCACTCGGTGAAAAACACTGGCTCCATCGCACGACCCAGCACCACTGAAGGAGTTAATGAGCATCACAGAACTCATGACCATATGGAAGAAATCTAAATATATCAGTGACGGGGAGAATAGAGAGAAAAGAGTGGATAAAAAGGCTCACCTGCGGATAAAGCCACCACTGATGGCCATCTGCTCCCGTTCATCTACAACACGTGCAGGCTGGCTGGCTACGACACCATCCTGATTATTGCCCCAGGCTTTTTTGTAAGCATCACTTGATTTAAGCCTATGCAAAAAAGATGATGAGTAACAAAGCATCAAGTGGACAAGGACAAACGCAAAACTCTCTACTTCTCCAAGCTAAAAGCTGAATCAAGCAAATGAGTTTTCAGTTAGAGGGTCATTGATTGTATACCGATATATCATAGCCCTGAATTAAAGGTGGGTTTGGGGTTTTGTTTTTTTTTACTTTACTGCCACAAGAACTGTGATGGTCAGAGGTTTTGTTTCCAACAGGGTGAATTGCAATTGTCAGGTCTACAACACTGCACACAGGTTTCTGGATGTTGACTTAGTTTCCAGAAAGAAAGAAGAAAAAAAAAGAAGAAAAGGAAAAAGAAAAAAGAAGAAGAGAAGAAATACAGATAAGTAGAAAACATTGTTTCATTTCAGTGACACATACGTTTTGACATCAAACACAGAGAACGTACTGGCAGACAGACATAAAAACAGAACTGCCAAGTATAGTGTGTACATCACATCACAGCAACACACCCTCTTAGAGAAAAACGGATTTGGCTAGATTTTAACATTTTACTGTGCAGAAGATTGGGCTTCTGTTGATGTTTTTTTAACATGTATGTGGCATAATAGGCATTTACAGCCACTAACCTTTCCCAAGGGGATTTGGGGACGATTTTATCATAAAATTCATAGGGTTCATTAGATTTTTCAAATAATATATCGGTACTTGAAAATAGTAATCATACATCGACAGTTGATGTACAAACCTTTGTCCACAGAGACAAAAAGTAAAATAGGCAGAAGTGAAATGAGCGCAGGAGAAAAGAAAAGATACGAGCAATCTAGCATCAGAAAGGGAAATTTTTCTACATTTTTCTTCATGCACCAGCTACAGGCATGAATAAGAAGTGAAGCATTCTCACTAAGCACAGTTGCCCCAATAGTTCATCATACTCTTAATGCATCAGCGGTAACAGCCTTCACAATAAGCAAGACACAGGCAAAAATGGATCATCACTTCCTTCAGGAGCTTTAAACCACAGGACTTTAAAATAGCCTATCAACTTGTTATATTTGTTGTTTATGACAGTTACATTAGCTTTCAGAGAGCCATTTTTGACTGAGCTGCCGTGGATAGAAAATTAAAATCCAGGCATACCTTCAGTGGCAGATTAGCATGTGCAGCATATTTAGTGTTGCTGTCATTGGGGTCGTCAGATGGGATTGAACACTTTAAGGGGAGAGTGTGAGTGTTTGGGGTCTGTAGGTATAAGTTCTTGATTTTTATTCCAGAAATGGGGCAGTTTCCAACAAAGCTGTTGGGAACTGCAAATCTCCGTGGTTTCCCTGTTCTTTGGTCAACTCCGATCAGTCATAAAAACAGCCCTGTGGCTTGGATTTTGGGGGAGAAACTGAACGTGCTTCTGGGGGATTTGGGAAAGGACACAACAAACCCACCTCTGGTGTTATGTTCTCTCCATGCCCCCTGAAGCAGGTCAACTTCTATCAAGCCTGAAGATGTGTTGCATGCTCCAATATAGAATTAAATTGTAGATGAAAAGAGGATCTTTCCTACTCATCTGTTTTGTTGCTTATCTCCTATTAAAGTTTGTGAAGACTTAAAAAGGTGATGGCTGGCTTGTTTGTTCTTAGTTCTCTGAAGCTATACATCAGCTTTGGCGTTTCTAGAAATGAGTGAAAGTAGTTCATGGCTGAACATGTGAGTGAAAGTAGTAAATGGCTGCACATACATTTACAGGTTTTTGCCTGTTCTTTAGACCTGTGCAACTTTGAGAGTGAGACAGTCTCTGTGTTTGAGGTGAATGATTTTATGCACCCAGAACTTGACCTCTGTTTTCTTGTGGACTTCCCATTAAAATCAACAGGTGGAGTCTGGGTCTGCTCACGGTCAGTAGCAGTTGTCCTTTTGAATGCAGTCTAGTCAAAGTTTCATGCCATGGGCATTTGGGTCTCCTAATGGATCCTAAAGGATCAAGCCTTGCATTTTGGTAAGGCTCACGGAGTTGTATTTACTCTCTATATTACAGTATAGCTATGTGCACAATGGTTAATCTTTTTTAAATATATGCCATTAATCTACCACCAGCCAGAAGAGCATTAGGGGATCATGGTGATACTGATGCCCAGAACTGCATGGATTTCTCTCCCTCCTACACTCCACTTCTCAGAATATCATCTTATTTGTACCAGTTGAGTCCTGGCATAGTGATTCAAGGAACAGTCTCTAAAAGCATTGTTCATCCATACTTTGTTTCTGAACACGCTGACGGATCAGCAATGCTAGTTTATGAAATCTGGCTGCAGACTGCAAAGGTCAGAATACTGCCTTAAAGCAGGGAAGCGACACCTTTGAAAAAGAACGTCGCCCACATCGAATGCATGTTTCTGTTCTTGCACCTATTGATTTCATGATAGTGAAGTGGTAAATGTTTTAAGGCCACGTGTCAGGTGCTAGCCCCATCCATGCCACAGGTCTGGCTGTCAGTTCTGAGCAGCCTTTCCTACAGTACAGAATATTAAAGCTGCTCTAAAAAATGACAATTCCTGCAAAATACATTGGAATTTTTTGTACTTCAAGGGTGAATTTTTGAGGTAGGCGTTACACCAGGTTTCTCCAGGAGAAGCAAGCCAGGACAGTGTTCCTCATTAAGTTGCAACAGCTTTTAGGGTGCGGGAGATGTAAAGTTTCTGCTGCATACTGTTGTACCTGCAGGTCTTCTGCACTGGGTCCTCTGGTGCAGGACAGTGGGGCTAAAGCCTGTATCAGAGCTGATATCAATTGCAGGCAGTCCTACTGACAAAAGCTCTCTGTGTGTGTGTGTAGCTCTTTGCATTCCTCCTTGCCTCTCTCCCATTCTGCACACCAAGAGAACAGTACACATATTCTGGGCAAAATATTTACCCTACCAAAGTATTCGTGGCTTGGTACACAGGAGCAAAATTGATTTTTTTTAAAGCTGAGGAGGTATCTGCATTGTGTCCCAAGGGAATTAACTTCAAAATAAATGGCGATTGATAAGGCAGAAACCCAGTCCTACCATTCTGATTTCTGGCATAATACCCACTGAACTCCATGACAGCTCTCTCTCATTTGCTCTTGATAATCATGGCAGGATCAGGCCCTGGCTGTGAACAAAGTATCTGTGCCACGCGGAAAGGGAGTATAATACTGCAGAACCACTGCACTCTGCTTTGTTTCCTGCACAATCTCTGGCCAACCTTTTACGAATGTTTTCGCTGTAACCTGGTTGCATGCCTACTCACTGCATGCTGGATTTGCCATTCCTCAAGGAATCCTTGTCGGTCCACTTTGTCCCCGATTTCCTACGCCCGCGTAACCGCACATCACATTTTCATTTGGCATTTAAAACAAGCTTTGCATTACTTGGAGGACGGTTTCGTTCAAGTGTGATGGCATGCAAGCAAATTCGATGCATTTCAACATTTCTGCTTAGTGTACGTGCTACCTAAATGAGAGAAATTTGGCGTGTTCTGGTTTTCTCATATTTGTTGCCTATGGCAGGATGAAAACCATTTCAAGTTGGGTTCCAATTGTGAAATGTCATGTCTCTTTCAAGATCTCATCAAGGACTATTTCTGTTGAAAAAGGTGTGATTTTCATCCATAATTTTGAACAATGTTTATTAAGACCTCTTCTGCATTTTTTTCAGCTGTTTTGTATTGTTTATTAAACTTGTTTGTGAAAACATGTTTCAAAATTTAGGGTCTCCAGGAATAAGGTAGCCCCAGTGTTTTTGTTCGCTGCAAAATGGAACCACTCAGTACACTTTGTGTAAAATGTTGAAACTTTTGCCATTAAAAGGTGTCGACAGTGAAGCTTTCACTGCAGTATGCCTGATTTTAATGCATCTACAGTAATTCCCAGTCAGTTGTCTATGCTATGAGATGAATGCATTTGAACCAGAATCGTTCTTTCTGCATGCCACATGCTCATCCTGTCCATGTGCCTAGCAAGGATGAGCTTCACAAGGCCTTTTTGGGATCAGCCTTAAGTGCTCAAAGAGATGAGGCAGGCAGCACCTACTTGTTACATGGACAGACACAAAGACCACAGAATTTTCCTAGGTCCGTCAAATTCTTTTCTGCTTCTTTCATGTCCTTATTGATTTGGTCCATTCCCTCTTCGATGCGTTCCAGTTGTTCTGATTAAACACAAGTATTTTATCCCCACAGAATGAAGCAGATGGAAAAGGACAAAGAAAAAAAAGACAAAAACTTCAGACATTCACTGTGACAAAAAACTTGACACCACATAGCAGAGCCGGTACCCAGTACCTACTTGTTACAAGGACATATGAAAAGGCCACAGCATTTCCCTAAATCTTTTAAATTTTTCTCGGCCTCCTTCATGTCTTGGTTGATATGGTTCATGCCTTCTTCAACACGATCGAGTTGTTCTGGTCAGGACAAAGGGATGACAGTGTGGAATGAATTGTATTTTTGTTTGTTTGCTTTTGTCTTCAATAGAACATGAAAAATGACCGTGTAGAACTGAATTAATAATGACACTACAATGCATTAATCTGCGCTGATGCATTGTTGAAAGGATGTGTGCCGCACTGGATGCCGAAGAGGTTTCTTACTAATATGGGAAGAGTAAAACAAAGGAGGAAGATGTTTGAAATATATTAATTTAAACAAGATGTAATGATGTAGAAAGGAAAGGTTATAAAGTTTAAGGTCCAGAAACATAATACAATACATCCACTTACTAAGACACCAATGACATCCAAGAGAAAGAAAGATAGTGTTATTATTTTGCATTTATGTATGTTAATACAAGAGAAAAGGCGTTCTTCCATGGAAAACACTTCAGTTACTTACGCTTACAAATGCCTTGGAATTAGGTGATTTTGGGCAGCGTAATTGCTTTGATTAGTGAGTGAGAGAGCTGGCAGCAACGGTTCCAGAGATGGAGCGAGCTGTTAAGAGCTGTGTCCAAGTACTCCTTTTTCCAGAGGCTGAGGAAACTGAGACCTGCCACTTTGATTGGCTTTGGATATTAATCTCTAATCAGAGTAGGGCTTCAGGGCTGGTTTTCTTTCTGGTATGGACGCTGCAAATCAGGAGTAACTCCAGCGAACACTCAGGAGCCTGATGCAGTAACTACTGCAACTACTGCAGGAGCCTGATGCTCGCTGAAAGAGGACCACTGGCTGTGACGTTCGTTGTCTCTGTCCCCAGGGAGTCTAATGAAAACAAACACTGGGTGAAGACTCGTGTTTTCGGTGGGGTCACTCCTGCTTTGCTCCAGGGCAAGTCACAAAGCACCAAGCCCAGTAACCAGCCTTATATAGACACCGTCTCTCCGCTGGCATCAGAGTTTGGCTTATTTCCACCTAAGGCTGACGATCATGTAGGGTTTTCTTAGTGACTTGGTAGCTCAGAATAATTTAATGTGTTAATTTCTTCACTATTAAAGCTGGGGAAAAGTGGCCTAGAGGAACAGAATGCCACAATTTAAAATTGTAGGAACGGATCCTCCGCTGGTGTAAACAGATACGGATCCAGTGGGATCAGGGGTCTTATGTGGAGCCTGCAGCAGCAACAGCATTTTACATGGGTGGAAAGCCTCGCCATTTGTTTCATGAAGGATAAACCCAAATAAGTATTACATGGGATGAGAAAGTTACAAGGAGTGGCATTTCAATCCATTAAAAACTGTAACTGTACCTAAAGAGGCAAAGTAAAGCAATCCCAGTAAAACACAAATACAACCCTATTCCCCATATTGAATAGAAAAAAATATAAACACAGAATTAGACCTGAGGGGAAAGGAACTAAGAGACCACTGGTTATAGGAGGAATTTAACAGTCATCCCTGATGTTAACTGAGTCCTATCCAGAAGAAAAAAAAAAAAAAAAAAAAAAAAAAAAAAAAAAAAAAAAAAAAAAAAAAAAAAAAAAAAAAAAAAAAAAAAAAAAAAAAAAAAAAAAAAAAAAAAAAAAAAAAAAAAAAAAAAAAAAAAAAAAAAAAAAAAAAAAAAAAAAAAAAAAAAAAAAAAAAAAAAAAAAAAAAAAAAAAAAAAAAGGCATTTTAGGAAACAATCATGTGCATATTTATGTCAGTACAAAACTCCTCTTGACTTCTTTGGGAACAGGAATAGGCCTAATTTCTTATTTGGTTTTCTAATAACAATTGAGGTTTAGATTTTCAAAGCTTTCTGGAGGATTTGCATGCCCAATTCCCATTCAAAATAATTTTATTTAATTAATTTTAATGGGAGACGGGCATCTCACCCCTAGAGGGCCTTGAAAATCCTGGCCTAAATTATTCAAGCTGAAATAATTCAAATATTGAACTTGTGCTCTTTGTTTAATTCTTGCATGAGGCTGGGCCTTGAGAAGGAGAGGTGCCATGTCAGTATTGCGAGCTGCATCTGCTTTTCAGCTCTCAGTTCTCATTCTCCTCAGCTGGATGTGCCTGTCTCCTGATATCGCAGGAGTTATTGATCCCAAATCCAAGGATACGTTTAGAGGGTCAGAGTTACCTGGCAGTCTTCTAAAAGTGGCACATATAATGTGAGCAAAGGATCGGGGAAACTAATAAGGAAACCTGAGAGATACGCTGCACAAGTTCTGCTGGATAAACTGCTGAGCCAAGAACCAGAAATACATGGTTGGATTATTTTAACGCACGTTGTAATTTTACATCTTGGTTGGGAGGCATCAGCAGAAGCTTTGGTTCATATTTGTAGCCACAGATTGCCAATCTCATCAGAAATGTGAGTACGTGGTAGAAGGTGATACTCCTCTAAGTGCTCCTGCTCCTCCTCACTAACTCGGAGTCCTGCCTGCTCCTGCATAGTTGGGCAACACTGGCTCCGGCTCCGGCAAGCAGCTGTGGGAGTGTGAGCTGGCTTTTATGCCGGTTCATGCAGCGTGACGGGAGTTGCTAAATGTCTGTCGCAGATTCCCACCTCCTGCTTGTGAGACCTGTGTTTGCAAAGCCCGGCTGCTTTTCAGGGCTCTCGGTTAAAAGAAGGCTGTTGTCACATGTGTATTTTGACACTGGGAGGGACAAGGGGTACTGACCTTTCTTCAACTGGTTTTGCTGCCTGTATTTCCCTAGCCTTGGCTGGCCAGTAGAAAATGCCAGGTAAGACCAGGGATCAGTCCTAGATTTGGTATCACTGGTGGCTTTCAGTCTAAGCATGTTTCCTTGTGCAGATGCCCATTCTCTGAAGTCATGTATGTGGTAGGGCCTTTTGAACTTTCTTTCCCTGTTTCCTATTCTGCCTGAATAGATGAGTGGTAATTGAAGAGCATATCTGACGTGATTCAAAGACTTTCATTTAAATTATAGCTCTCTCCAGGAACCTGACTTAATTTATCCTGCTTCAGGATTTGTGTGTGATGCCTATGCTATTTCTGAATAGAAAAGGGACCCACAACTAATTTATCTTCCATTAAAGGAAACCTCATCAGTGTAAAAAGCTCATGTCATATTTGTAGCCCAGAAGTCTAGACAGCCGGCTGCTGGTCCTAAAACCATTTGCTAGTTGTTAATGTCGTGGGCTGGATTGTTAACTGGTTTAAATCAGCACAGTTATGCTGGCTTCATGGAGCAGCACCAATTTATACCTGTCAAAGATCCGGTCCCACAGGCAAGGAAGTAGATTCATGAGTCTAACCACAGTTATTGAGGCGCAAATATTACAGAGGAATTAACTTAATGGGGTCACTCTGGATTTGTTTTGGTATAACTGATATTAAAATCTGGCCCGGAATGAATCACTGCTGGTAAGAAATCAGATGGCTATCAAAAGGTTAATTTAATGTCTGTTTTCACAGATCTTCCCTATTCCAATTTTGCGTACTGTATTAAAGGTTTTAGGGAAGCCAGTCTGCTGGCATATACTGCCACGAACCTACTCAAATTCACACCTGAAAAAGATCATGTCCTTTATCTCCCATTTAGAGGAGCACTTCAAGGTCAGAGTTTAAACATCTTTTGATAGTTTGTTGCAGTATTCTTTGAATATACTACATCTATATGTATGTTTATATATCATATACGATATATAAGAAAATTGGCGTTGCCTGGAAGCAGAATACACATCAGAGGTATGTTTCATTGAGTTTTCCTTCATTTTTTTTCCCGGGAAGCTCTGCTAATTATTAGCCCTTTTTGCATATAGATACCCTTTTACATCTGAGAATGTCACTATGATTCAAACATAGTGGCCATATATCTTCTTCCAGACCTTACAGCAAACTAATGGCATATCTTAGGATAAAAACAAGGATATTTTTTTACCTGTATTGTATTATACTTATGAATTACTTCTGTGTTAAAACCGTAGGCAACTGAGGGACCATAAGCCAGTCCTGTTAGTTTTACCATAGCATTGTGGCCCTTTGCCAGTGGGCCTTTGCCAGGATCTTCTGTAACAGCCCGGCAAATCCCCGCTCTGTGACTGATCTGGGGAAGCGGCTGGGAGACGGAAGCTGTAGCAAGGCCATCCCTCAGCTGCTCCCGTGGTCTCTTGAGCAAACGCAGCTGCAGAAGCATCTTAACACAGCGTTGGATGCAGGACCAGGATGGGGCAAGCATGGTGTTGCTCCACCTTTGCATCCCCGTCTGTAATTTATAACAAATGTTCCTTGGCTAGTGTCCTGGATCTGGGGCCTGTGCTTGAATGTCAGTTAAATGCCAGTGGAGAATGGAACTTGCACCTTGCCTGGAGTATTGTGCAACGAAGCAATTTCCACCAAGGACAATTTTAATTAGAGAAAGAAAAAATAAAAAGGACATCTAAGAACACGTTGTAATCATAATTGCATACAAGAGGGCTGAATTTGAAAGAGAGTCGGCAGATTGACTATTTCCAATGATACTCGGTGATCCCATTTTCCAGAAAGGAATATCATATTGGAGCACTGTACATTTCTAGAACAGCCTTTTCAGAAATCCTGAGTCTTGACCTAGCTCCTCTCTGAAAGGCATTGCTGAGCACAAGTTGGAATGGAAGAAAGCTGGCGGGGAGTGCTTGTGAGCCCGCGTGTAGCTGTGCTAAAAATAGCAGTAGACAAGGCACAACCTGCTTTGGGGGGACGTTTGTCTTTTGTTCTGCACTACACTTTCAACATAATTAATACCATTTTCCCTGTAGAATCTGGAAGGGTTGATAGTTACCATTTTTTTCGCTGATAAGCAAATCATTTCTGACTGTGATCAGCTCAGCTCATAGGTGTTGCTGGGCGCCTCTAGCAACTCTGCTTTTGGCATCTCACTGCCTATCAATTTTCATGGTAGCTGTTGAATAGGAGATAAGCTGGGGAAGGCGCCTGCGCAAGGGGCCATAATTTTGTTCTCTGATGGAAAGGAATGGTAATTATCTTCGTATTTACTGCAGTTGTTTCTCCAGTGCCGTAGAAACAGGTCAGCCGTAACTCATACAAAACTGTAAAACTTGCAACTCATGCAAGAACTGTAGAGGTCAGCTAGCACGGGCACCATCACTTGGTGTCAACCCTTTTGCTTGTAGGGTCACCCAGTTATTCTAAATTTTTTTCTCCATGCTTCAACTTGATCTGGAGTGCAGATCTGCTGGGTAGATCAAGCTACTCTCTGCGTTCTCCGGCATTGCTGGCTGTGCATTTGCTGTTGGTGTGGCGCAGGGAGAAAATTTCAGTTGCATTGACATTTTCTTTGTGGCTTATCAAAGTTGTGGATATTCCTCTATCTTGCCTTGGATGAAAAATGGCTGTGCTGCCACTGTTGTTATTGGAAAAGTTTCTCCCCTCCACCCCATTTTGAATACAAGAACAAAATTCTTTTGCAATAAACTGCATGAGGACATCAGCATACAAAAAAAGGTCCTTGAAGGTCCAAATCTTTCTGCCTGCCGATACTCCCAGGTGATGGGAGTTTCCTTTGGAGGAAGAGAGCTACCACTCTGGGACCCCTGCTATGTCTGCAATTCAGGTTTATCTTCATATCCCCACTTTGTGCTATCAGTTTGACTTCTACGGTCTGCTTTTAACCAGCATGCATCCAAATGTTAACATTTTTCTAAGCTAGCATGTTTCAAAGACATATTTAATGAAGCGGAGCAATTGCCACTGCTCAATAATCCTTTGCAGCATGACAGTTTTAGTGTAAAATGTAACTATTTTAGTTTAAAGCATTATGTACATATCTATATTTAAATAATTAATTAAGGGATCTTGAGTCGAGGCCAGGTTTAAAAAAAATGTAACCATTATGGATGCACATAGGGTCTGGGAAAGACTTTCTCACTGATGGAAAAAATCTCAACAAGGAGAATCTAACCTCTTAGCTCCTTCCTGTGGGGTCCCCAGGGGAAGAACTGTGTTGAACTGGTTTGGGTGACAATACCTGGCTCAAAAATTGATAACTCTTGGTATTGCGGAGGGACAACTCCAAAAGCCCACTCAGATTCCCAGTGCCTTCAAAGGGCACTGGGAGGAGGTCTCTAGTTTTTATGGCAGTCCCATTCTCTGGGAAACAGGAGTAATGAAAGCTCTTGTGAAGCTCCACATCTCTGTAGGGTCATAACAGACTCTGTGGTCTGCTGCGCAGCCAGCTGTGCTAAACATTTAGGCAACAGGAGCTAGCCAGACTGGCTTTATTGTATAAATACCTAGCATTGTAAAATTACAATGACTTCTTTCCTTTTATGATCCTAAAGACTTCTGCTTATTGATATCAGAAAATGAGTTCTGCTTTGTGTTATTTAGATTGAGATCAGCTCAAAGAAGTTTTCCTTGTAAGGTCTGTTTAACTTCAAAGCAAGCAATTTTGTAAGGAAACCTAGAAATAGAGCTTCAAGCAACTGCAGAGATTAGATATTCTGCTTGCCGCCCACTGGAAAGATCAATGTCATGTTTTTTGTCTATTTAACACCTAATAATCTTAAGTGACTTGTGCAGTCAGCTGAGAAGAGATCACATGGCAGTGTTAGCAAATTATTTCCTTAATCTGATAATCTGCAGAGACATCCGTGAGTTGCACACATTGCACTAATTACAGAGGGTTCAAAGTCATCATTAGCGTATTTTGCCCAATAATATAGTAAGTCCTTTATCGCTAAAATAAAAAAAAAATCAGGAATTATTACAGCTGCATATGGCTAAAATGGACAAAACTTAATTAGACATTTAACATAGTACAGTGGTTTCAATATTCCCAGAGTTTGTAGAATTGTTAGGCTGTTTTCCTTGAGAAACCCATACTGTAGTCACAGGCTTAATTTACTGAACCACTTAAGGCATGACCATAACCAATTTAAAGAGGCTTTTAAATTGTCTGGTTCTTTCCTGTAAGTATTGACTAACTGCATCTCTGGCCATACAATATACTTTTCAGGTTTTACTGTCTATGAGAATTTAATACTGAGTTCCCTGGACTCCAAAGAGGTCAGTGGGTCCAGCCTCAGCTCCTTGGCTCACACGGACCGTCCTTCCTAGCATGACTAGAGAGCCGGTGGGACGACTTGTGCGTACAGGGGGTTAGCAATAGTAGAACTCCAAAGTAAAAAACAAAATTCAGGGTTAAAAACAAAATAACCCCCCCCTAGCAACCTGTGGAAAAATAACAGTTAAAGAACAGAAACGTACTTGCCCAAGACTAAACAAAAGGGAAGTTATAGGAACCACTAAATTTTCTGCTGATCTGCCTGTGAATTACATTGCAAGACACACCTGGGTATTTACAGACTTCTTCTGACAGTATTTGTGATTTATTTTAGCTGTATAGTTCACTACTGAAACAAAACACATTATTTAGACAGGTGCCATATCTGTTTCAACATACGTGATTTCTGGTTTTCTGTATTCAGTGATAGTTCTTTTACTGCTGTTATTCAGAAAAAAAAGTTTTGAAGACAACAAAATATTCTCTGTCATTTTTTTCTTGGCGAGACAAATTGATGCGACAAAATTTGGTTAGGTTAAATTCTTTTCCCTAAAGGGGGAGGAGGGGGAAAGCCATAAGACATACAATATGTAAAAGCAAATAGAAGAAAATACTTTCTGTTTAGGTCCTGTTATTACTTTTCATTCGTTTTAGTGCCACAGAGGGAGGGACATTACAGACGAAAGGGGTCTGTCAGGTTCTGCAGTCCATTTTCCAGCAATGCCGTACCATTGCCCATAATTGTTGCCTGGGCTTGATGAGTGATATAACATTACCTCTGTAGAAAACATTTCCTAATACAGTTTTGTATCATGCCACATAGTAGATAATAACAAGGGCTTTTGGGGGGCTGGTTTGATATAGAGTAGCAGAAATTTATACTCTGTTGATTTAACTTCTCTTTGGAGACACCATTTTGCTGGTGCTGTGGGTCTGCAGCAAACGACAACTTACTAGTTCTGTTGCAGGGGGGAAGCTACCTGCTTCTTTGTGATATTATGAAGGGCAAAAATGTAATTTCCTGGAATGTATTGAATATATCTAGCTCTGTCTTTGTCACTGTCATCCACAGACAGGGACTCGTCTAAGCTTGAAAGCTCCTATATGGTCAATTGTAATAAGCTGATCGTGTCATAGCTTTTAATGTTATATTCCTGTTATCCTCACTGACATTTCTGTACAAAAAACAACTGAGTTTTACACAAGCTAAACCTGTTTTACCTTCTCTTGGGTTGCATTTAATGCATGCTTTTCACTGGTAGCTAAAACGAGTGAGAAAATTACATAGCACCTGCGTAAATAATGTTGGATTTTACACTTATGGAGGCAAATCTTCCCATTGTGTAGCTGGATCTTGACCCAAAGCTTGCTGAAAGAATGATGATTTGGATGAGTTCAGCCTGCAGCTCTCTTTGACATTAATGGGAAACAGATCAAAAGAAGTGCAGACTATTACGCAGCTATTGTACGTTCCTCTGCCAGACAACAAAGCTAAAGGCAAAGAGATTCTTGGGTTCTCATGCACAACCACACGTGTTTTATGGCACTCGTTTTCAGGATTGCACACAGTTAGTACAGTACTTTGAGAATGGTTATACTTCCTTACTGAAGCAATCTGAACTTACCTCCTTGCTCATCCAACATAACCAAAGTCCTGATACCAGCATCTTTACTCTACATCCCAATAGTGGTAGCAAGGTAAGGAGAGAGAGGGGCAGAAGAAAGAGAGAGAGAGAAAGAGAGATCAGTGAGGGAACACTCAGCCCTAGATACGGGACATAGGAAGACAAAAGAAAAACAGTGAGAGGAGTGACAAGGTCATAAGGGACTGGTGGCACAGCCCAAAGACCTTATGTGCCTGGACAGTGTACGAGGAACTGGGTACTCTCAATTGTGCCATCAGTCGTTCAGGATTCACTGGGATACTGAACTACTGCAGAAAACACAAAGTCCTGGACTTCGAGCTTAAAATAATTGCTTTACACAAGAGTAATTTCTAAAAAGAGAGGGTTCATCTCCAAGTTCTCTGAAGCAGGAGAAGGGAAGAAGGGGGTGTTGACATTGCAGGTGTATGTTCATCCCACAGGAGAAACTCCCGAGGAAAATAGATACGGCACAAACATGTTTGGTAAGGAGGCACAGTGGTTTGCAACATAGCCCTTGCAACACAGAAGTCAGAAAGCTTACCTACTTAGGAAATCCATTTTGAAGCAGGCTAATATTTAATAGCATTAAGCCATATTTTTTGGCTTGGAGATCTAACAGATATGGGTTTGAGCCAAGTTTTAGTTCAGCGAAGAGACACCTTTAGCATCAATGGACTTTGGATCAAGCTTGAAGGCAGGATTTTTAAAGCACCTATGTGCTGATCGTACCCCTGCTCCCACAGAAGTTAATGGGAATCTTATCATCGCCTTTGCTGGACAAAAGACTCAAGCAAAAGCTGAGCAATTCAGTCCTCCCACCTGCCTAAATCAGCAGCAAGGCACCTTTCACAAATACAGTTTTTGCATGCATTATCATCACTCTGGGATGTGATCAGGTGTCTCGGGTTTCTGGGTGCTGTGATACTAAGCTTATCACAGATCAGATTAGCTCCTTTTTAATTACGAAGGGGAAACTAGCTCCATTCTGCTTGGAGCAGTGATAACGCCTGTGAATAATTAATGGCCTGAATGATCTCCTGACTGTTGCATTTCAATAACAGATGAAGTAAAGTCCTCTGTGGCCTGACAGCTTGCCAGGATACCTGGACCTGTGCAGCAGTAATATAGCTGCTTCCGTGAACATAAAGCTATCCATACTCCTGTGAAGCAGATAAAGTTGGTGGTGTTGATTTTGCAGAGGGCAGGGGAGATGCCCACAGTTGCACAGGAACGTGAGGAATAGAAACCTGGAGTCCTGACCTTCCCTTTTGCTTTTTCAGGCCATCCTCCCCCTCCTTGAGGCAAATTAAAGGCTTCCAACTTCCTTCCTCCCAACTGCCCTGCTCACTGCCGTCGCTCATCTCTTTTTCTGGGAGCAGTGAAGTCTCCTTGGCCGCCAGCTGCCCAGTCCGTGCTCGCAAGGCGCTCCCAGGCAGGCCGGCAGTGCGCTGCCCACATCGGCTCAGCTACAAGCCTGACTCTCTGCCACACTTGAGGACTGTCTGGCTGGTGCAGCTGGTGCTTCTCTGCTTTGCTTCCAGAGGATCCTGCTCGGTTCAAGAGGGATGCGAGATGCCTCTTGTTGCGCTCTCGTCTGCCTCTCTCTGCACTCCCATTCTTGTCTTTAATGTCTACCTCACTGTAGAAACTGGGCAAAACATCAGATGTGTGCAGCCTGGTTCGTTCCCCCCCCCTTTTTTTTTTTAAATCCTTGTGTGAGTTGCCAGGTGGAGAGAAAAAGCCTCCTGCCTCTCCCCACAGTCTGCTGCGCCCTACTGCCCCTGGGTCAGCTAGCTACCAGGTACCCGCTGCTGCTCTCTCTCCCTTCAAGCTCATAGTGCATTTACTTGAATCCCAGCCAGCTTTTATTTTTGCAACCTTTAGAAACTTAGGGTCCAAGGGTCATCTTAGATTTGCTTATTTAGAGTAAGGAAACAGCCTTTAATGATCTTACATTTTCTGTAGGGCAGGTGTCAGATTTGCTAAGCACTGGATGTGCAGTAGCTTTTTATTGTGCTCTTTCTATGCTCTTGGTAGCCAAGGATGTCTTACCCCAAAAGTTTTATATGTGTTTCAAAAAACATGCCTCATGCAAACACAAGGAGACTGCTTAGGTCCTGAGTCATCTTGTGTTTGAGTAAATATGGTGCAGTCTGCCATGGAGCCCTTCTAAATATTGGACTCAGAAAACCCGCAATTGGTGGTATGATAGTTGTTGTCTTTCAGTGAGTCAAACACGGTCAGGCTGAGAAATGTTTGCTGCTCCTTAACACTCTGACCTTATTTTCCTGCAATTTTTAACATCTGAGCAAACTGCCTTCATGCAGCTAAGATGTCCAGTGACCTGAATAAGACCTACGCTGAGAGACGAATTCAGCAATTAGTCCTTATGGTTTGTATTTCGTATTAAATCCTTGCACAGAGCAAAAGAGGGGCAATTTTCTTTTACCTACCTGACCATCAGTGCCATTTAATTTTATCAGGCAATACTGTATCTCTTAAGAGCAGCCTGCCACAGCATTAATACTAATGTGAAAATATTAAAGGGTGTGCACTGAATATACTTGTCTGCATCTGAGGTCTAATCCAAAACATATTGAAGCTAATAAAAAGATGCTCACTGACAAAGATGAGAGGTGATTCAGACATCAAGTGACAATCTCCTCCTGTTCCAAGTTTCTATTAAGCATTAATTTTCAGCTTTTTCACAAAAAATTAACTGTGTAAGGCCAATTAAAAAAAAAAAATAAATCACATTTGTGCATTTAAAACAGATCCAGACTTTCCTAAAAGTTCAGTATTTCCATTGTGACTGATCTTTTAGATAGCTCAAACCCAATCATGCCTGTAAGACAGAACTATTCTAAAAATGTGCTCATCATCCAGAATTCTGAGCAGGAGAGAAACGCTCATTAACTGACCCTCAGTGACAACAGACCGAGGCATCTCTGAAACTACAAAACCTCTTCATTTAAAGGAATATAGAGGAAGAAATGTGCCACACAAGTGTGTTTGGAGCCCAAACACAGACAACGTTGACATTTTCTGCACTAAAAGTGTCTCAGAAACTCCCCTCGCTCTCACTGGGGGCAGGTCTCAGCAGACATACTCGAACTGGTTGCTTAGAGAACGTGTAACAGGAGGTGACGAAAGCTGTGTTTGCAAAGTGCCGGCCCAGAAGAGTATGTTTTACAACAACTGATCATAAAACCTTGATAACAGGCTCCCAGAAGAGCCATGGTCGTGGCAGGGGCCCGGTGACCGTGCTTTGATTTGTCTGATCCTGAGGGCTCAGGAAGGGTTCCCACCCACATCCAGTGCTCACCAACATCAGTGAGATCCTAAGTGGGAAGCCATGAATGGGTAGAACCAGTGAGGTCCGTCTTGTTATGAAAATGTGTGCTAATGGTACACTTTCCCCAGGGTTAGAGCCCGCCTTTCTTCCTGCGCAGTGGAGGAATTCATTAAGACCCTCCAGTCCTTGCACAGACAACCCTCTGTTTAGTTTGCGGCAAAATAAGGATTCTCAAAAAATGGGATGCTTAGGGTAGTTCAGGCCAGAGAGAAGAAAAATGCATCTTTCATAGGACCCGGCAGACTTCACGGAGCACATGCCGTTTTAATCCAGCTCTTAAATCTGTAACAGCCTTCTCTCTCCAGAGTTACTTCTGACTCTCCTTGTCTTCTTGCTGCTCTTGAGAGGAGAATTTGGACTGCTGGATTTTGCCACGGCACAGCAAACATCTCACTCTCTTGTCCTTTAGAAGAAAATGGCACAGCACGAATTGCTTTTGTTTGGGCATTAACTGACCGCTCTGGAGTTCCTCCGTTTATCCATAAAGCGGGTATACCGCAAACAGTAAAACACATAATCTTTCCCATGCAGCCCTTGAACATACTCAGCCCTGACTTGAGGAATGAGCAGGGCAGCCCACGTGTCCTCCCAGACTTTGATTTCCATGGAGACTACCATGGGTTGCCAACCGTTTTTCTGCAAAGACCTGACAAATTTTGCGCACAAGGTGACCCCTCGGAGCAGGAAGCCATCGCTTTCGACTTCTAAAAATGAACCACGTTAGGGGAAAGAGCACCATGAATATAGACGCCATAAAGTTTATGAAAGCTGATGTCCTTCAACCTTTCAGTAGCACTAAGATCTAGTGTTCAGACAAAAGCAAACCAACAAGGAGTACTGGTTGAGGTTCAACATGCTTTCTGTGAACCACATGCCTCAGTTCTTCACTAGACCACAGGCTAAGCTACTGATCAGAAAGCCAGAATATATGATTTTAAAACACTAGGCTTAATTCAGCTCTTAGATACATCATCCTAAGTCTGTCAATGTTTCAGTGAAGCCAGTTTAACAGCATAACTGGGACCCCTGTTGGAGGCTTTGATATACATTATCCTCAATCTTCTGTACCAGCTTTTTAAAACTTTTTTTTATTAGGGTCTCACTCAGAGCAAGTCAGCAACAAGGCGTTCACTGAAATTTGCCCAGCACTTTGGAGGGGAAAGGCATTGCTGTATCATTTCTTATCATTACTGTTATGTCACTTAATTTCCCAGGGTGGAAAGAAAACCAGGAAGAGAATTGGGATGACTTCTCAAAGGGTCCATCAGTCCCTCCAGGAACACAGTGTGTTGCGTCCTATCCATGCCTGCTACAAAAGGCAGCTACTCCGACTTTGGTGTAGCCTGAGGGGTGACTTTCATAACAGTGTAAGGGAATGAGGTGTCAGATAGAGAATCCAAATTCTAGAAATCACTTTCTCTGCATTTCGGGACGTACCCTGAAAAACAGATATACACTCTCAGTTGTGTGAAGAACATATAAACTTCCACTTCAGTGAAGAATTTTGCTTTAATTGATATGGATTATAGAGTTTGTTCTGAATAAATTAATACAGACAATTATGTACCAGGACAGGCTGACATTGCTAGCAGTTCCCAGAGACACTAAAGAGAAGTGTCAACACCCTAAAGACAAAAATGTGGTCAAAGAAATATTTTTTAGTCATCTGTAGTAATGCATTTCCTCAGCTCCTGCTCCGAGTTCACTGTCACCCTGTTAGTGCTGCAATGTCTCTTCGTGCCTGACTAAGGAGCCATGTTACTTCTCAGAGCCTGTTAATTCACCCTGTGGTTCAGATCCTCAGCCGATACGAATCTGTGCCCCCCCCTTGAATCCTGTGTGCCTGGTTTTCATCTAGTGCGATGACCCTGACTCCAGTGCTACCCCGCTGGTTTACATAGGCAAAAGGGTCTAATCTGCGTAGGAAAAACTGAGACTAGAATTAGGAATCACCTTCCCCTGTGCCAGATATGTATTTCTGTGGAATTACACAGATTAAAACACTTTCCTGAGTAGAACCGTTCCAATAGCTAGTGCTGTCAAAGGGATTTTTCAAATTAGCTTTGACAAGCTTTGGATCAAACTCTAAATTAATAGAATTTTTTTTTTTTAATTCTTCAGACTATAATTAAGGAACATTTGACTATGCTAATAATGTCAGGGGAAATTCACGTCCCAGTCACAAATGAAGGAAGTTAGTAAAATGGCAAACTGTATGTTCAGTGTCCTGTGTAGAGCAGCATCATGAGGTTATCAAACATTTATAGCTTACCATTTCAGCTTTGATATGTTAGTAAACTTGACTTCAACCTCCCAGCATATGAGAGAAGATTTAAATGTACAGACCAGCCCTTTTCTCTGTACGTGTTGCTAAGTGCTTTCTTGCTGGGCTTTCTACAGTACTGATCTTGTTGATATTTTTTCCCTTGCCACATCATAGCTAGAAAACATTTCTTTTTTTCCACCTTACAACAACTGATTTTCTTTAAAGGCCGTGGTGGTTCCACTGGAAGATGGCAGTAGACTGATGCCTTTTCCCCTTGCATGTGTTATTCTATGATTATGATATATGTTATTCTATTCTATTCTATTCTATTCTATTCTGTTCTATTCTATGATTCTATTCTGCATTTCATAAAGTTGGCTCAGAGGTAAAAAGCTTGAACAAGAAAATAAGAAGGTCAGCTACAAACTGTGTATTTAGTCTCACTTCTTCTGCCTCAGTTCATTTTTATTTTATGTTTTGGCCCAAACATTGCACAGCATCATCATAAAATACAGGTATTTATAGCACTGAGTAGCTGAGTAGCTCAAATGAGCACTGGTCAGTGTAGATGTAACTGTGTTGCATTGGTATGCTGGGCACCACAGAGCAAACTGATTTTTGTAATCTGCCATCTCAGTACGTAGCTGCCTTGGGGCAAAGCAGTAGCGACTTTACAACAGCCACTCGCCACTTCTTCTTGCTTCCCCTGTTGTGCTAGGGCTGAAACAATCAGCTTCTTGCAAAGCTAGGTTATAAAAATAAGAAGCAGTAACAGATTTGGTTTTCCTTGCCGATGTTCCCTGGGAACGGCACCAGGGCTTAGTCTCCAAACTCAGCCTAGTCTTCTTGGGCAAGGAGGGCATGGTCCTTTGGGGACATCAGTTTTGTCCCCCAGGCTATGACCTACATTTCAGCATTAAGGATGCCTTGTACTGCTGTTGGGCTTCCCTGGGTGGACAGCACTCTTCTGTCTCTAGAGCGGAGCCAAGCCAGTCTGTTTATTCTGTATTTTCCTAGTATCTAACAGAGCGGAGCCAACCATGACAGGAATCCATACATATGTACGTAGTAACAATGCTTAAACATGGAGGCATCCTTTTCCTGAGTAAGGAATAACAGATTTGCTGTATCAAGAGAATAAAGTAAAAAGCATTCTTTCACTGAGAAAGAATATTCTCTACCTCTACCCACTAGACAGGTTCTGCTAAATGAGGGAGTCTAATTGGATTTTTTGGGTCTATTAAATCAGACCAGTGTGAGTTCGATTTCAAAGACACTCACCATTTGTCTCTTCAGTATAAGATCTCTCACTCCCTAAATGCTGCATTCTTTTAAAAGCACCTAGGAAATGGAGTAATCAACCAACTGTTTAGACCACAGAAGAATTTTAAAGGCCTTTTGTAGTCACATTAGCGAAAATAATATTCAGCTCATTGTAGAAGAAATCCCTTGACTACTCAGTGCTAGTTTTAGAAACTTCTCTATTTGGACAGGAAGATATTGTAGCATCTGAATAAAAGCCAGGTCCCAAGAGATGCCGAGCTCTTCCACGAAGCGCTAGAGTCCTACATAAATTCATTGGCAAATTCAGCAGTCCCAGTTCTCCTCCCACTTTGCCATTTGCCGTGATTTAATACTGAAATTCCAGCGGCATTCACAATATGCTGGTTCAATATGTTAGGAAGACTCAAGCAGTGCATAGGTCACACAAATACGGCTCAGGAGAGGCAGGGCTGATATTTACTGATGGCTTGGCCCTGAGCAAATCACTTCCCTTTCCTGCGCCTCTCTTTCTTCCCACTCATCATCTGCCTTGTCTATTTAGATCACAGGCATTTTGGGGCAGCAGGCTCTCCTGCCTTGTGTTTGTGGAGGTACCCATGTGAGACTCTCTTCCATGTCGTTGAATTGATTTCGTAACTGCCACAAGATAGCACTGCCATCAACAGGAGCTGCATCCGGCATGGGGTTGACATAAAGTGATGGTTAGAAATGGCGTGTCCAGGGAATTGAGCAGCAAAAAGGGACAGATTGCTCGTGAGACAAGAGCATGTTTCGGCTGCAAGGGGCCCAGATCTGAAGTGTTTGTGGAGGAGAAGCGATGCTGACTATGCTCAATGACCCATCTGTCTGTCTATCTGTACACGGAAATTTAATTTCGTCTCCACTGGACTCCATCGATCTCCACAGTCGTGATTGATTTCGAGGCCGTGAAGCCTATGCCTGGGCTTGTGCTTGTGGCTGAACGTGGGACCTGATGTAATTTTCTTCCCGTTGTCTCTGCTGGAGACTCCTCTGGTTGTCAGGAGTACTGGAACTATCAGTGCTGATGACCCTGATTAAAAATGTCACCAGCCCCAGAGCCAAGGCTCGCATGGTGTCTGAAAATAATACGTCCTGTCAGGCGGGAGCAAAGTTTTCCACCACCTGATGGCTGAACTCTCTAAACTAAACTGAGTTTGGAAATTTCCAACTTTTAAACCCCTTTGTTATGAAGGGGGTGAAATGAAGCCTGACTGAATTGTTTTTTCCCTTCTGGAAGCGACCCCTCCAGGCAGGTATAAGCTGTATTAGCCATGAGGACTGAGCCCGGGTCCCCTTCCTTAGCACCGTGGAAAATCAGAGAACTTCCTTTTCCAAAGCTGTCAATCTAGGACATCTCATGAGCCTTGAAATCCTAATAAATGTTTCAGAGATATATAAAGAAGTGGCATTTAAATGCTGTGGTGACCAATGCTCTATAAACAGCTGTTTGTGGAGAGGGAGGTGTTTAGAGACGACAGGGCAAACAGACCGAGGGCCTTTCTCACCTTCCCCACTGTCCTGGTTTCGGCTGGGATAGAGTTAATTCCCTTCCTAATAGCTGGTACAGTGCTGTGTTTTGGACTTAGGATGAGAACAATGTTGATAACACACTCATGTTTTAGTAGTTGCTAAGTAGTGCTTACTCTAGTCAAGGACTTTTCAGCTTCCCGTGCTCTACCGACTGAGAAGGCTGGGGGTGCACAAGAAGCCGGGAGGGGGCACAGCCAGGACAGCTGACCCCAACTGGCCAAAGGGACATTCCATACCATGTGACGTCATGCTCAGTACATAAACTGGGGAAAGCTGGCGAGGGGGGCCGCTGCTCGGGGACTGGCTGGGCATCAGTCAGTGGGTGGTGAGCAATTGCATTGTGCATCACTTGCTTTGTATATTCTTTTATCATTGTTATTATTATTTTCCCTTCCTTTTCTGTCCTATTAAACTGTCTTTATCTCAATCCATGAATTTGACTTTTTTTTTCTCTTCTTTCTGATTCTCTCCCCCATCCCACTGAGGGGGGGCAGTGAAGTGAGCGAACGGCTGTGTGGTGTTTAGCTGCCCGCTGGGTTAAACCACGACACCCACTTGCAGTGTTATGGCAAGGACGTCAGAGCGGTGCCGACACGAGGCTCCAGGAGCTCTGCAGCAAACTCAGCTGCTTGTCCCTGACTCCAGGTCACCTTCAGAGGCTGTTTCCTTGGTTTGTCTCGAGTAGCCTGTCTCAATGGATACTCAGGTATGGGCAAAACAGTGCCTCAGCAGCTGGTCTGCAGTGTGACACTTGGGAACTAGGGCACAGTGTCTTGAATGACCCTCGGAAGGGGTAAGGATAAGGAGGGATGCAGTGGCACATAAAGCCGTGGCCATGCCCTAGCAACGTGAGTTTAAAAAAAACACCACTTCCAGTGTCAGACTCTCCATCACTTTTGCTCGCAACAGAAGTGCAAATAAAATGCAAGTCCTTACCTCTTCAACAAGCTGCAGCATTCGACGGGTGCTCTCAAGGGACTGGAAAAAAAAACAGGAAAAAAACACTCAGATTTGGCAAGATACAGTTTCCAACACTAATGTGCAGGCTTATGCTGACAGTATGTTTTTCCTACGCTCTTTGCCTTCCCTCAAAATCAGGCCATCAGCAGGGTACTGGTGATCCCTCCGTCTTTAGCTCTCTGTTACAGCTTGCTAATGCAGCAGTTCCCACCGCACCTCGAGGCAGCTGCAGTCTCTAAGGCTTGTGCTCCCCTTGCTCACGCGTTGCGGCAGTAGTGCTTGGAACAGCTGGTGTTCCACTTTAAAAATAAAGTCTGTGGTTCTCAGCTAAGACTTTTCAGAGACCTAACTGGTGACTTTTGACATTTAATAGGTTTGGCAGATTGAAGGAGTCCTCAGAAAATATTAAATTGCTGCTTTTTGCTCTGAGGCCAAATTGATGCAGACTCTAATACCTACACCAAACTCACGATCGATAAATGCCTTAATCTAGACTAAACGTGACATTAAATTTTACCCTGGCTCATTTTTTCCAATTCTGCTTTCATTGTAAAGCTGACAGAAAACAGATTCAGCCCTAGAAATCCTTTGCCGGATCAGCTCCTATTTCTGGATGTGTCTCTCAGGCCAAACCCAACCCCAAGTTTCCAGTTTAGCTATCGGTCTCACTTCATCAGCAAGTTGGTCGGCACGTCGCTGCATTTCTTCCAACTCATTGCGCATATCAGCGTCTTCCGCCATTTTAGCTGTGGGTGTTTGTGGAAGCTGCAGATCAAGGATTTGTGCTCAGCTGCTTGTGAGCCTGGAAGACAGCGAAAAGAGAAAGAAACGGTGTGGTTAGGCTCCCTGACTCACTGAATTGTGCTTAAATGTCAGTCCCGTGAAAGTACCTTTACCACATGAGTGCCCTCAGCCAAAATCTTTCGTTCTGGATAGCAATTCCTATATAGTACAGAGCACACAGGATTTTTCAAGGTGGTGCTTTGTTCCTGTATTATTAATCACTCTCGAAGAGCAAGGATGTATCCTTGTCATGTTCTTTGAGGAAAATCCTTCCTTTTTTCTTAACCTTTCAAATGCTATTCATATCGAAGCTGGAGACTCAGGAGGTGTTTTTTGCTACCAGAAACAGTCTTCAGACCCATTCATTCTTCTCTAGAATTAAAAGCCTTAACATGAAGGAGGTCAAGGTCAAGCCTATGCCCCTCATGTCCTGTATTTCAGCTGCATCACTTGGAGGGCTGGACACTCAGCTGATACATCTGCGATGAAATGAAAGACAATGAAACTTTGCAGATTTTTATCGGCTAATGACTTATCCACCGTGCTCTAGTTCAGACTGAAATAATATTTACAGCTAGACTGGGAGAAGTTGCCTACCTGGGAGAATCCTTCATTTCAGGGGAAGTGACTAAAGGACCTAACTGGTTTCTTCAACTTCTCCCCAAACGGGGTCAGATTCTGATCTTGGTTATCCCTCTCAATACAGGACAACGCCACTGAGCTCATCCTAACCAGAGACCGGGATGCAGCCCCTTAATCCTCATTTGGGTAGGGTTTCTTTTTTGTTATAAATTCGAGCTAGCTCTGATTACTGAGCATGACTTGATTAAGAAAGGCGGGTCCTCCTACCATCTGTCAGGTCTTTATAACAACAACACTGGCTTATTTCTTTGCTTGATTCAAGCATGGCACATTGCAAATTACTGCTCACTGAATGTTAGATTTGTTCATTGCAGGAAAACCTAATCCGAGGTGCAGAGGAGGAGGGGAAGTTGTGGGGGACTGCAAATAAACAGCCATAAAGCACATACCATCATGCTCAATTACAGAAAGAGGACAACAGCAGCCCCTTTCAGCAAAGCTGCTCTAAGAAGGCAAAATCCCAGGGGCTATTTTCTGTCCTGTCTTTGCGATACACGCAGCCTTTATGAAACACGGTAAGTCAGGGCAGAGCTTGGCTCTACAATTTTAACAATAATAACTCTGTTTAAAGGGAAGTTACTACCTATTGGAGATGAATCTGTCCCTCACTTTGACAGCACTCACTGTCAGGACAAGAGGAGTATGGGCTGAACAGGTACAGCTGAGGGGCAGGGAGATTTCCTGGATCACACCCTGTTTGCTTAGAAATGTATAAGAAAAGCAGACAGCTCCTTGCATTTCCTCTGCAGCTTCAACAATGGATTTGCTGTTTTTCTTATCAAGAGGGAATATATGACCTTCATGCTTTCGCATTAGCTGTGCCCTCGCTCGTGGTTGCTTTTCCTCTTTGAAGCTACAGCAGGAAGAAATCCATCTCGAAGAGTCAGCCCTGCAGCTACTGGCACGGCATCTTACTTCCATCACTGAGCACATCGCCATATCCTTGTCAGAGGGAGACTGACATTTTGTGATGGGTCACACAATGTTTAGGAGCCCAAATGGCTCTCCTGTATGCTGGAGAAGAAGCCCACCTGGTTCTGCCAGCTGCATGGTCACAGCGGTGTGAAGGACCAAGCTTAAGCAACTCATCTGCAGCCCCGGCTGATGCAAATGCAGAGCTTAATTTCATGGCTAATGTTCAGACTGATATCAGGCATTTCAAGGATGCTCACAAACAGCAGTAAATAGGCTATACAAAAAATGGTGCGCTCTGAGGATTAGGAGGAAAAGATGAACCAGGAATTGGTCTCCTCCTGAAGGGCACGTGAAAGTGTGGGGATGCTCTCAAGGCCATCCCCAACCTTCCCACCCTGCTGCTGCACTCGCGTTGTCTTTTGTGGCACATCACGCACCTCCAGGAAGACACTACACCTGATCAGCAAATGGAGCATGATCAGCTGGGATAAAAGAAGTTATTTCGGTAAAGAACCACTCTCTGAACTCCTGTCCCACTTGGCACAGGCTGGCACTAGCACTGGTCACTGCTTCACAAATTGTGTTTTTTCACAGATCGAGGCAAAACTCTGGATTTAAATATTTCTGGTACAGCCTCTGCGACAGAATGCCAGGATTAAGTCTGTGGGCCTAATTTTAGAATATTTAGTTAAAATATTCTCCTCTGCCTGGATCCCTCGCTACACTTGTGCTGGTGGAATAACAGCACTGAGCTTTAGCAAAAACCAGGACGATTCAGACATGACTTTGGGACCGATCTAACTGGTATATACATCTAGCTGTGAGGGGCAGGAAACCGGTTCTGCATTATGTCTATCTGGTAGCATCTTGCTAGCTGTGAAGTGGGAAGTGATGCAGCAGTGAGAGGATGGGATGCTAACAGGGGATTTGGCTCAGTCTCTAAGCATACCCAATGTGAGCTGAATGATTACAGACATGTAAGTGAGCAGAGGTGACATGAGTGCTTCTACTGACAATAACGAACAATACAGTCTGTTTGTCAGTCACCGCAGATGATAAAAGTCGCACAGAAAATTCAGCTCTCAAGTAGATTCCAGCCTGACTTCTGATCTTTTACGTATTAATTTTTGATCGTGAGCCAGCGGCGGTGTTGGGTGGTGCAAAGCAGAAACAAAATGGAGAAACTTCGTGATTTTTCTTTAGTTGTCCTTCTCGATTAGTTAGAACCATCAGCTGGCATCTTAGTGACAGCTGGATCCTATTTTGCATCAAGCTAAAAAAAAGTCAGAGGTTGTAACCAGAGAGATGTTTTGTAGCAAGTGATCGAACTTGACAGGTTTATTGAGATTGTTTGGTATTTGTAAAGCACTTAGAATGGATTGAGAAATAGCGAAAAGCATTATTCCAGACAAGTCATTTTACATCAAGTTTTAGTCATAAACGAGAGTGCCCCGCAGCAGGGCTGATTCAACTTTATTTAATAGAAAACCGTGCACAAGAATCAATAGAGGTTACTGATTTGCACACAGTGTGATAAACTACATATATTTTGCAGATGGCTGGGAATGGGTTTAAGTTTTTTGCAGATTTTGCAGCTAAAATGTGGAATCGGACAGATTAGAGAGAGGATTTTCCTTGAAAAGCCCCATTTAGGCTGAAATTCCATTCCAGTGTCATGAATTTCCAACAACAAACCCTGTTATCAATAAAATCCTGTGGAGAGCAGATTTACGTTTTAAAGGGAATTATTTCTCTACAGTACAAATTAACAGTTTTCCCTCTATGGTGTTTCTTAGGAACACCTATATATAGTCCTCTTGCTGTATTAAAACGTTGAAACTGAATAATTATAGGAATGGCCAAGAAAAGGTAAACCATAACAGATTTGCTCTCACTGATTCCTGGACAGACTTTCAAAAGCGTAAGTTATTAGTCTGTCTTGGGCCCACTGAAACCTGTTCTTGTCTTAGTAGAACGGGAACAGGCCAAAGATCCTATTGAGGACTTTGGGTAATAAATTCCTTGTGGGATTTATATTTTTGATAATAGCTGATATTTTGCTGATATGTATTCTGCTCTCATTCAACCTGATTTGAACCAAGTATCAAGATCCTATAATTGCCTTAGGAACTGGAAATAAACTCTCCAAAATGCACTTCGTACTTTCAACATAAAGTACATTTTGTTTTGTCTACAGCCACTGCAGAGGTGACAGATCAGAAAGCCAAAGCTGTGATGTAATATGTTAAGCTCTTTACATCTAAAATTTTGATTAAAAAAAAAAAAAGTTGCTACAGAAGTTACAGCCACTTGCACACACTCAGTCAATTTGTATTTATACTTGCAATAATGGTATATGCAAATGCAAGCTCAAAATTTCACGAGGACCTTGGTTTTTCCATTTCAGAAAAGGGAAAGGAAATCCTCTGGGTTCACACACAAACATACACGGTGCTCTCTTAAAAGGAGACAAAAGTCCAAACGTTGCTACAAAAAACTGTGTACGTCATGTACCAAGCTGTGCTCTGTGTCTTCGAGACAACGCAAGTCACTTCGGGGACTTGGGTGACTTACATCGAATTCCCTGTGAGCCAGTTTTATGCGTTACGACGGTGCTCGTGCAGTAGCACAAAAGCAGACTAAGGGTTAAAGGAAAATACAGAGAGACTGGCTAATGGAAACGCATTGCCTATTATACTTTGCATTCTGCATCTGCTATTTTAGTAATGTTCAGAGGCAATAAAGAATCTCATAGCGAGAACATTATATATCCTTATGGAGTTATACTGAGGTCTAAGACAGACCTACATATATCCCCAGAGGAAGAGGGATACAATGAGTGACCTTTGAAAGCAAATATTTGCTTCACAGTGATACAAACACTTCAGTGCAATAAATACAGGAAAATGAAAATGCTGCAATTTACTGTGGGGAAGGCAACACTGCAATAAAGTGTTCTTTTTTAAGCACTCTCCCCGTTATTAAAGGACACATCTATTCTTCCCGTGGATATTTGTAGCCAGAGGATGACTGCATTGGCGTATTCTACTAAAAAAGTCCGAATCGGTCAGTACCACACTGTATGCTTCTTTCTTGTAGGATTGAAAGAGCATTACCGCAGTGGCGTGGCATTAGTAGAGCCACAGAAAACCGAGAGAGACACTTTGGATCAAGCACCTCAGGATGGATGTTGAGCCATTTAAGGCTGGATGTTGGTTTGCAGCTATTCTCCTTTCATTTTTAATCTGGTCGTTGGCAGAAGGAGAAACACATGCTGTCAAAGGGGGAGATGAAGTTCTGCTACAGATGAAGGGGGTCATTCTTGCTCCCCAGTGTTGCCTCGCAGCCGTTCAGTCAGCTCCCTGGGTGCTGTGCAAGGCATGTTCAACCACGATGGGACCAGGCACAAGGCAGTTCTGGGGCTGTATAGGATCCTCCTCTCAAGATGCACATCCTTTTCCCTGCT